TGGGAGGCCGAGGCAGGTGGATCACCTGAAGTCAGGGGTTCGAGACCAGCCTGACTAATGTGGCAAACCCCGTCTCTACTAAAAAATACAAAAATTAGCCAGGCCTGGTGGTATGCACCTGTAATCCCAGCTACTTGGGAAGCTGAGGCAGGAGAATCACTCAAACCTGGGAGGTGGAGGTTGCAGTGAGCCGGGATTGCACCACTGCACTCTAGTCTGGGTGATAGAGCGAGATTCCATCTCAAAGAATAATAATAATAATAATAATTTTTTAAAAAGGATCTTGGGCCCCCTCGGTCTTCTCGCTCGGGGACCTGCCTCTTGCCTCTTCTCTGAAGCTCCATAAAGGAGACCCTGTTTCACTTTGCTTGCCTCTTTTTTCTATAAAATCTTGTTCTGAGAGAACTACCTTGTACATTTGTTTATGCTCACATGTAAATGACTGCTGGGGATTTATGCTAGCTCATTTTCATAAGGGAAAAAGCTTTCAGTCAAAGAAATGAAAACCTTCAAGTGAGGGAGGCAGAAGGCCCTCCTAATGATTTAGAAAGCACACTGTCTACACCATCCAGAAAAGCAGCAGGTGTTCTATAACCCAGCTGTGACGGGGGCCCATGCCATTTGCGTTTAGCTGAAATGACTGAGCAACTTCAAGACAGGGTCTCACTGTCACTTAGAGTACAGTGGTGCAATCATAGCTCACTGCAACCTCTAACACCTGGGCTCATATCATCCACCTGATTCAGGCTCCTGAGTGTCTGGAATTATAGGTGTGTGCCACCATGCCTGGCTTTTTTTTTTTTTTTTTTTTTTTGGTAGAGATGGTGGTCTCTGTATGTTGCTCAGGCTGGTCTCAAACTCCTGGGCTAAAGTAATCCTCCTGCCTCAGCCTCTCGAAGTGCTGGGATTATAGCTGTGAGCCACCATGCCCAGCCTGACTGAGCAACTTCTGAACCCTCCATCCTCTTCCTGGAAGTAGGAAAGTAGGCAGAGGCCTGGTGGTGGTGGTGGTGGCAGGAGGACAGGGAAGCTCAATGGAGCAGAGGTACATAACGGGGGAGCGATTACTCCCTCCAAATGCACTTCTCTGAAAAAAACAGGGCTGCCAGAGAGGAGTACAGAGCTATTTTTTCAAAGCATGACTTTCAATGTAACATCACTTTCAAAGTAAAGGGCTCTGGCCTTCTATGTCTTTGGGGGTACCCTCAGCCACCCTGCTTGGTCCCTCCTGCCTCATGAGATGTCCCAGGTCATGGCTGGTGTTTCCAGGAGGAGCTCGCCTCATGGGCAGCTGCAGCCAACCTGCAGTCTACCTGGATACTGCCTGGGATCCCCCTCTGCCTGGGTGCATGGCACCAAAGTAAGGCCTGGATCACATTATGCTACCTGAGAATTGGGGTCAGGGTGTGAATTCAGGTTACCAGAGAGTGTCAGAGCAGAGACAGTAAGAAGGATTGGCAGGGAGTGTCACCTGCTCCGTCCACGGGGCAGCCCCACCCAATAGCCCTCTTGGTTCAGGAGGGCATGATGCCAGGGTGCCAAGGGCCTGGCCTCCAGGAGCCCCTGGGAAAGTGGTTCCAAAAGAGGAAAAACAGATGGGCCAGAGCCAGTCCTGGAACACAAACACCAGTATATTTTATGTGCACAAATGTGAAAAGGAAGAGACAGAGGGACCAACGGAGACACAGAGCAGGCAATGGGTTCACAAACCGGTCATGTGTCCTTCTCAAAAGCTGCCCAACTGGGAGACAGTCCCACCCACCTCAAAGGCCCTTTAGCAGAGCTGGGGCCTGCAGCTTCTCCAGGTCTGGGTGGCCTCAGGGTGGAAGGCACTCTCCCTGCCATGGCTCCCCTAAGGGCTGGGCCTCTCACCTGTCTGCATCCCAGGGTGATGCCTACACACCCCAGGGCTTCATAAATGCAGGTTCTTATGAACTGACCCATTCAGCAGCTGCCTCCCCAGGAGACCCATGCAGAGCAAGGGACCAGGACGAAAGGGCTTCACAGGGACTCCCTAGGTATTATTGCTGTGAATAAGCATAGGCCATTGTGACTCACTGGCATTGAAGAGGGGACAGGGCACATGGGATGCCTAGCAGATGTCAGAAGCAGTTCAACCATGCAGGGCAGCACATTGCAATCTGTAACTCAGAGATGCTGCCATGTCCAGTGGAGAGAGGCCCAGGACACCAGAGGTTCATGAATAGCCAGCAAACACTCCCCACCGGCACCCTTTTTTTTTTTTTTTTTTTTTTTTTGAGACAGAGTCTTGCTCTGTCGCCCAGGCTGGAGTGCAGTAGCCGGATCTCAGCTCACTGCAAGCTCCGCCTCTGGGGTTCACGCCATTCTCCTGCCTCAGCCTCCCATGTAGCTGGGACTACAGGCGCCCGCCACCTCGCCCGACTAGTTTTTTGTATTTTTTAGTAGAGACGGGGTTTCACCGTGTTAGCCAGGATGGTCTCGATCTCCTGACCTCGTGATCCACCCGTCTCGGCCTCCCAAAGTGCTGGGATTACAGGCTTGAGCCATCGCACCTGGCCCCCACCAGTACCCTTAATGCTTGGTAGGGCTGGGTTTATTCCAAACTTTGAGTCCCTGGGCACTAAGGGATTGGGGACCTGATACCCAAAAAAGCAAGAGTTGAAGTCTGGGCTATTCCTAGTGAGATCTGAACCTGTAGATCCCGTGGTCACACCATGGGTTGTTGCCTTCCTTTGTTGGAGGTTTGATGCCTTATGAGGGGCAATTGGAGAAATGGGACCTAGATGGAGCAGAAACACAATGCTGGATGTTGCCAGGCACAGAGGCATACCCCCAGGACCTCCTGCACTTGGGAACTTATAGGACCCAGAGAGTAAATGGTGCCAGGGAATGCCCACAAGGCAACGTCTGGAGCAGCAAGACCTGGTGGGCCAACCAAGGACTTGCTCTGGCTGAGAATTATGGAGGCATCAACAAGCTGGCCACTGGACTCAGTTGTAGAATACGAGTGTGAAGGTGGGTAGTGTGGTCTAGGGGCCCACATGGAAGGCCTGAAGGGGTGCTAGGAGACTAAGACAACATGGAGTTGAGGACAGAACCAAGGAAACAATTGCTCGGAGAGAACGGAGAAGGCAGACAATATTCTCCTCCTGGAATTTTCTCCATCTATAGATGGAAAACAATCTACTCCCACCAGAAGCCTGATTCTCTGTAATCCCCAAAGCCCTGGAGTTGGGGCCACAATAAAATCAAAAGGAGGGCTGGCCCCTGCAGAAAGTAGTTCATCCCTGGATTTGAGGAGCCTGCCCAATAAATAGGCTAGGAAATACCCTTCGTTCTGCTCTGGACAGGGCTAACTGCAGAAAATCCTGCCAAAGGCAGAGTCTGCAAGCTTTTCTTCAGACCTAGAACACAACTGTGGCCCACCCCACCACACCCTGCAGCCTGGGTTGTGCTATCGGCACAGTATGGGCAGGGCAGCCAGCAGGGAAGAGGACATTCTCTCCACAGGTGATACCGTCACTTTGTAATGATCCATAAAAAGGGGAAGGCTAATTTCTACCTAAGAGCCCTACTGTGGTCAAGAAGAGACCATGTCCCATGGGATGGGGCACTTTCTAACAGACCCTTTCCCTTGAGGAGTGAGAGCGCCAGTAGGCTGGAGGAAGTATTTCACCTGTCCACTGCCAGCAATGGACCTGTCACAGGGCAAAGTGGGGCAGGGGAATCAAGGTGCCAATGCCCATGAGTGTGGCAGGGTTAATACTGTTTAAGGAGTAAGCTCAAAGGGTCAGCCTCGCTGGGAGGAGTTTGGGGAGAGGGCAGCCCTGAGGTTCTGCTACAGGGCTGGGGCTATGGCAGAACCAGAACTGATACCCTCCCACAAAGGAGGCTCCAAGGAGCCTTCTACAGCTGCAAGGTCCTCCTCTCTTTCTTCCTCTCATTCTCCATCGGTCTCCAACGCTGGATACCTGGTTTCTCCATCCCATAGAAAGCTAAACTGCTCAGTTTTGGCTTGAAAATAAACCAGGCAGGGAATAGACAACCTAGAACTCTGCCTTTTCCCCACCAAACTGACTCGCCTCTAGGTCACCATTGGGGATCCACAGAGCCTATCCCAGCCTGCCTGTGCATTGGAGGGCATCATTTGTTCTCAGCTAAGCCACTGAGAAGGGAGCACTGCCATAGCCCACTAGACCGGGGGTAGGGAGGTGTAACTCAGGAACTCCTCAGGCATCAGGCCAGCGGGAAGAGTGGAGGGAAGGGCTGCAAGGGGGTGGGGGTTGGGGGTGTCTCAGGGCTCCATCTCCCGCAGCTCCTGCGCTGGCTAGGGAGCTGGGGTGGGGCAGGTGTGGTGACCGACATGGATAAAGAGCTGCTAGTGGTAAAGGCCTTGAAAACAAGACAGAAAAGGGGGAAACGCCACCGAACACACGGGGATTGAAACCTCCAAAAGCCCAAGGTTGGTGGGAATCCAGCACCACGGGGGCCCCAGAAGGCCAAGGGAGCAGCGCAGGGCCCTGGGGGAGGGGAGAGGAGCCAAGGGAGGGTCTCCCAGCCCTTGCAGACCAGCGTTGCTGCCACGCAGCCTCCTGGCTGCCCAGTCTCTCCTCGGCTGCAGCTTAGCAGGCCCCTGGGGAGGTATTGGTTGCAAGCAAGCACCTGAATATTGCCTAATGGAACCAGCCAAAGCTTAACTAAATCCAGATCAGAGGGAGGGAGGTCAGGCCTTGCCTCCCACCTGCGGCCCCATTCTCATTGTCCCTTAGCCAGGACAGGGCCTGCTGCTTCCAAAGTCAACTATATAGTCCATCGCTGCTCAGCCACAGGCCTTCTGGCACCAACCCCTGAGCTGGGCCAGGACCCATGGACCCTTCCCAATGTCCCTCTGCTGCCTCCACACCCCATCCCCCAACAGCTGACCACGGCCCCCCAACACTGGCCCCCGCGGAGGTTAGGGGGCTCTGTGTGCCCCACAGGGCTGAGACTTGGCCGGGGCAGGGTTTTTGCTGCATGGATGGGGCAACTTCACCAGCTTGGTCTCTTTGTCCTTGAGTTCCATGAGAGATCCCCAGGCCCCCCACCCGCTTCCTACTCAGTCAGTCTTGACATGGCCATTGGCCAGGGCCAGGGCGCCACTGGGCTCCCCGGGTTCAGCGTCCTTGTCGAAGCGGAGGCGGAGGGTGTTGCGGATGATGAACTGCTCCATGATGAGGGCCCCGCAGAACCAGGGCACGGCGTACTCCAGGGTGATGAGGCCCATGAAGTCAAAGTCGAACTGGGAGTAGTCCCAGGGGCAGGCGTTGAACTGGCGCAGGATGAAGCCGGTGGTGAACTCCCACAGGTAGGTCCAGAGCGTGTAGATGAGGCAGCGCAGGAGCAGCGGGCAGCGGCCACGCAGCCGCAGGTACATGCGCTCCACGATGAGGATGGAGGTGCCGTAGATGAAGAGGGCCCACACGCTCGTGACCCCTGGGAACTTCCAGTTCAAGTTCACCACGAACTCCCAGGCCGCCGTGAACATCACCTCGCAGAAGTAGCCGTGGATGGCGTACAGGTACCAGCGGGACAGCGCCGTCAGGGGCTCTGCAGAGGCCATGGCGCCGACTGGGGCTGGCTGCTGGGGGCACAAGAGAGACAGGTGAGGGCCGGGTGTGGTGGTTCACACCTGTAATCCCAGCACTTTGGGAGGCTGAGGCGGGTGGATCACTTGAGGTTAGGAGTTCAAGACCAGCCTGGCCATCATGGTGAAACCCCATCTCTACTAAAAATACAAAAATTAGCCAGGCGTGGTGGTCTGCTCCTGTAATCCCAGCTACTCGGGAAGCTGAGGTAGGAGAATCACTTGATCCCGCAAGTCAGAGGTTGCAGTGAGCCAAGATTGCTCCACTGCACTCCAGCCTGGGCGACAGAGAGAGACTCTGTCTCCAAACAAACAAACAAAAACAACAACAACAACAACAAAAAAACAAAGCAAAGAACAGAATAACCCACCCACCCCACTGACTTCTCTGCAACTCTATCCAAATGCTACTTAGAGAGAGGTGTCTGTACTCCCTACAGCTTTTTTGGATTATCTGTGGTCAGTTGAAGAGTCGGCTGGCCTGGTCCACCAATCAACCCCATTTCTAGACTACTTGCTGATTTCTCAGCAGGCCTGTCCACTGGGGACCCCATTTCTTGCTCCACTTCTCAAACAGTTCCATGTCACTCATATTTCTGAGATGTAAGTGACCCATTACATTTGTCCTTGTACGTGTGCATGCCATTTTTTAACCATGTTTAAGTGTACAATTCAGTGGCCTTAAGTACATTCACATTGTTGCACAACGATCACCACCAACCATCTCCAGAACTTTTTCATTGCCCCAGACAGAAACTTTGTATCCATTAAATACAAACTCCCATTCCGCATACCCTCAGCCCTGGCAACCACTATTCTATTTTCTGTCTCTATGAATTCAACTACTCTGGGTGCCTCATATAAGTGGAATCATACAAACACTGTCCTTTTGTGACTGGCTTAGCATAACCGGCTTAGTTTTCACTTAGCCTGACGTCTTTAAGGTTCATCCATTTTGCAGCACATGTCAGAATTTCCTTCTTTTTTTTTTTTTTTTTTTTTTTTTTGAGACGGAGTCTCACTCTCTCGTCCAGGCTGGAGTGCAGTGGTGCGATCTCGGCTCACTGCAACGTCCACCTCCCAGGTTCAAGCAATTCTCCTGCCTCAGACTCCTGAGTAGCTGGGACTACAGGCGCACGCCACCACACCCGGCAAATTTTTGTATTTTAGTAGAGACGGGATTTCACCATGTTGCCCAGGCTGGTTGCAAACTCCTGAGCTCAGGCAATCTGCCCGCCTTGGCCTCCCAACATGCTGGGATTACAGGCATGAGCCACTGTGCCCGGCCAGAATTTCCTTCCTTTTAAAGGCGGAATCATATTCCATTGTATATATCACCATATGTTGTTTATCCATTCATCCATTGATGGACACCTAGGTTGCTTCTACCTTTTGGCTACTGTGAATAAGCTGCTATGAACATGGGTGTACAAAGGTCTATTTGAGTCCCTGCTCTCAACTCTTTCAAGTACATATGCAGAAGTGGAAATACTGGATCATACGGTAATTCTATAGTTTACTTTCTGAGGAACCACTGTGCTATTTTCCACGGTGGTCACACCATTTTACATTCCCTATCAGCAATGTACAAGGGTTCCAATTTCTCTACATCCGCCCCAAACACTTGTTATTTTCTGTTTTGTTTTTATAATGGCCATCCTAATGGGTGTGAGGTAGTTCTCTCATTGTGGTCACATTTGTCTTTGCTCCATTAAATGGGGTTTTGGTGTTTGGTTTCAGTGTTGAAGGGAAACCAATGGATTGACACAGGAAAGTCCTCCCCTGTCCTTCTGGCTCCCTTCCTCTTCCCTCTTTTAAACCCCACCAGTCTTCAAGGCCCGGCTCCCATGCTGCTTCTCTCTACTTTCTCCTTGCCCTCCACCGGTGACTGTCTCCACCACTTATCTGGTCCCTTATCAGGTGCCACCCCATTGTCTTTTTGAGGAACGTGCTCTCATGATCCAACTAGCCTGTGAACTTCTTGAAGACAGTGACTGTTGCACAGGCCAGTGCTTTGCGGCCTTGACACAGGCCTCTCCTGGGCAGGCATGTCCTGTTCATGTCCTGTTCATGTGGAGGGTAGCGTGGGAATGCATCAAGAATGGGAAGGTGGGGCTTGAGAACATAAATCCCAGCTCTGCCAGCTGCCAGTGGCTTCACATCTCTGTTGATCCCCTCTCCAAGGTGGGAGAAGAGATAGAGGTTAAAGAGATGACATCTGTAGTATGCACACCTGTCTGGGAATCCCAGCCTCACATTTCAGCTGAGGCAGGCCTGGTCACATTAATACCTACCCATCCTTGTGCATTGCTCTGTGGTCTTCCAAGCACTTCATTCACATTTTGTCATGGATCTTACATAATTAAGATTCAGGCTGGGTGCAGTGGCTCACGCCTGTAATCCCAGAACTTTGGGAGGCCGAGGAGGGTGAATCACCTGAGATCAGGAGTTTGAGACCAACCTGGCCAACATGGTGAAACGCCATCTCTACTAAAAATACAAAAATTAGCCAGGGTGGTGGCAAGCGCCTGTAAACCCAGCTACTTGGGAGGCTGAGGCAAGAGAATTGCTTGAACCCGGGAGGTGGAGGTTGCAGTGAGCCAAGATCGTGCCACTGCACTCCAGCCTGGGCAACAGAGCACGACTTTGTCTCCAAAATAAATAAATAAATTAAAAAATAAAATAAAATAAAAAAGATTCATGTGAAGGTCAGATAATTTTACTCCCATTTTTTTGCAGTGAGACAGTTAGAGCTCAGAGAGGGAACATCATTTGTCCTATATCTCAGGGCCAGTAAATGGAAGAGCTGAGACTAGAACCAATATCTCTTGCTTTCTACTTCAAAACTCATCCCCTGCACACGACTACCCATCTCTTAGACATACGTACGAAATGTTACTCCCCTGCTCAAAAATGCTCGATAGCAGCCAGGCACAGTGGCTCACGCCTATAATCCCAGCACTTTGGGAGGCAGAGATGGGCAGATCACCTGAAGTCAGGAGTTCAAGACCAGCCTGACCAATATGATGAAACCCTGTCTTTACTAAAAATACACCAAAAAAAGGATGGGTAGGTATTAATGTGACCAGGCCTGCTTCAGCTGAAATGTGGTGGCATGTGCCTGTAATCACAGCTACTTGGGAGGCTGAGACAGGAAAACTGCTTGAACCTGGGAGGTGGAGGTTGCAGTGAGTAGGGATTGCACCATTGCACTCCAGCCTGGACAACAAGAGCGAAACTCTGTCTCAAAAAACAAAACAAAACAAAACAAAAAAAGCGATGTTCGATAGCTCCCTATTTCCTAATGAAACACAACAGCATCCTTGGCCTGCCATTGAAGATTCTTCATGACCTTACCCCAACTGACATCTTCAGCCTTTTCCTCACAATCCAGCTCTTCCTGTCTTTCATTTCCATGTCTTTGCAGGTCCTATTCATTCTATTAGGCCTGCCTTTCTCCTCTTACTTCCGTGAGTATAAACCAGGTTACAGGTTACCTTCAGAACAGAATCTCTTTCATCCCCTCAGGTCCCAAGTCCTCTCTTCCTCTTCTGAATTTCTACAGCACTTACTCTGTCTCACTCCCTTTGGTACCGGTTATTTTCTGTTATATTATGTTGAGAATTTCAGTCCCCGGCCAGACCTCTTTCCTGTGTGCTGCACCTATAGCTCCTGCTCTTCTCTAGACAGCTCCCCGTAATATCCCACAGGCATCCCAAACCCCTTTCCTAAATCAAACCCATGGGCAGGTGTGGTGGCTCATGCCTGTAATCCTAGCACTTTGGGAGGCTGAGGCAGAAGGATTGCTCGAGCCCAGAACTCTTGAGTTCAAGACCAACCTAGGCAATGCAGTGAGACCCTGTCTCTAAAAAATCAATAAATAGAATCAAACCCATTATCTTTTCCCCAAAACCTGTTTCTCTCCTAAGACCCCCACCCCAATTAATGGCACCACCATGCACCCAGTTAGAACCAGAGGTCTCGAAGTCTCTCTGGCTTCCTCTGCCACATCCCCACCCTAACATGAGTTCCTGAGAGTGAGGGCCTTGCCTGCCTGGTTCAGCACAGTATACCCGGTCCCTGGCACAAAGCCCAGCACACAGTAAGCGTTCGAGAAAAGAATAAAGACATCTCTTAGTTAGCAATTGCCATATAACAAATCATCCCCAAAACCCTGGCCTAAAACAATTACTGTCTACTATTACAGCTCACATGTCTGTGGTTGGCAGGCGGCTGGGGCAGTGTAGCTCCGCTCCCCCTGTCTCTCATCCTCCTCTGGGGCCCAGTGGACTTACCTGGCCATATTCTTCTCATGACAAGGGCAGAGGCACAAAGGTGAGCAAGCCCAGCGGCACAAGTGTGGTTCAAAACCCTGGTTAAGCCATGCCCACCAACATCCCACTGGCCAAGGGAAAGCCACCAAGTCAGCAACCAACTCCCACCCTTTCTATCTCTTAAATATCTTTGGGATCCATCCCCTCCTCTTCATTATTCTTCTCATTGCTGCCACTGCTCTGGTTCACGCCCTCCTCATGTCTCACCTGGATGACTCCAAAGGTCTCCCAGCTTTGCCTTCTTCCTTCTAATTCACTCATCATAGGACGAAAGAGTGTATAGAAAAAATGCAACCTTTCTAAAATGCAACTCCAATGTTTCTCACCACTTAAAGCCCATGAGTGAATCTTCAACATCTACAGAGTAAATAAAGCTCAAACCCCTGGGGACTGCTGGCAAAGCCCTTCACAACTTGTCCCTGCCTCCGATCCTGTCCTCCAGATCTCTACCTTGCTGTTTTTGCTACCTGGGCCCCTCCCAGGGCCGGTGAACCCTCCTTAAAGACCCAGCTCTTCCTCTGTGAGGACTTTCCTAAGCACCCTGACTCCAGACTGTCTGCCCACTTCTGCACCCTCCCTTCTCTGTGGTGACAGAGAGCACTCTGCTTTGCTGGATTCATCTGAAGGCCAGCACCAGCAGCCTCCTGAGGAATGCTTGTTTAA